TTCTATAAGCAGTATTTGAATACTGAAAGAAGAGCAGATAAAAAAACTCAAGTGATTATGCCAAACCAGATTGGTTGCACAGCACGAAGCGTTGGATACTTTTATTAGACTTCAACCAGCAGTTATTCACGCTTTAGAAACCATAACGGAAACGTGAAAAGATGCTGATGTAAGAAGCTCTGCATATTCGTTACTGTTAGCAATAAAAAATATCCAGTTTCAAGTTGCTGTTTACGTTGCTAAATCAATAAATACTGTCGCACTCACTCTTAGCCGCATTCTACAATCTGAGAATCAAGATTTAGCTGAGGTGGTACAACAAACTTCATGTGCAGAAGAAGAACTGCGATGCAAGAGAACAAACGCAGAAAGCACCTTCCGAGAAATTTTAGATTGTGTGAAAAAAAATTGTAAAACAAATAATATTGAAGTTGGCAAACCTCGAGTTACTGCCCGCCAAACTAAGCGTTGTAATGTACAAACCGAATCAGTTGAAGACTACTACCGCGTAAGCACTTATATTCCATACTTATATGTATTTATTTCACATTTAAATGAAGGATTTTTAAAACATCAAAATACGTTAGAAAATTTTTAATGATTGTTTCCCAAATCCAGTAACGGAGACATAAATAAAAAATTCGGTCAAAAGTCTTGTTTAAAATTATTTCAGAGCTACGCTACAACTTTGCCCGACGATTCAGAAGATATCTAAGTAAATGAAGTACGTTGCTGGCGACGGCAAATTGCATCTCTTAGAATGAGTAATTCTCTTAAAATACTTTACTTTTCAGAAGCTTATCCAAACACACCAGATATTATTAATTATGGCCACATCATCCGTAACAACATGTACTAATGAAAGATCGCTTTTAATATTGCGAAGATTGAAAACCTACTTGAGATCTGTTATGTCTGAAAATCGACTGAATGGGCTAGCAGCTCTAAACATACATCAAGATATTGTAGTTAAAAGTGAAGATGTTATGTGGCAGTTTTTGCTACACCTAGAAGAATCGCAATGTTAAAATACATCAGGGATANCTGACAGGTACCCCGATAACGATCCGTAAACTAGGCATGCGTAGTCCATATGAGGAATAACAAGGGCAGACGCGAGCATCACCTTAAAAAAGGACGACAAGAGCCTCGTTCGGTAACGCAGTTGATGCATCGCCCAGTGTACTCGCGAATATGAGGCTACTACATGCACGTTCCAACTTAGATCCTCAGCGAGCAGGACACCGAGCGTCTTAACCCTATCGACAAATGGTATTACCCGATCCCCTGCATCAAGTGGAGGAAGAGCTGTTTTATCCAAGCGCATAAGGCTCTGGCAAGTGCCCATCAGAATCGCGTACAGTTTGCCGTAACTAAACTCAAGCCTGCAAGCTTCCGCCCACTGAACGACTCTTCCGACGTCCCCATCAAAGCGCCCGATGGCAACTGCCAATTCCGATGGCTTACACGACAGGTAAAACTGCAAGTTACTGCGCAACACAGAAAGTATCCCATCAATAAACATTAAAAAAGCACTGGTCCAGTGAACGAGCCCTGCGGTACACCCGAGGTCACAGAAAGAAAAGCAGACTGCCCATCGTTAGGCCCACTCATAGCCTGAGAACGAGCCGTAAGATAACTATGGAACCACCGCAAAGTGCTCCTGGCAAAGCCCAAGCAGCTCATCTTTCGTAAAAGTACCGTGTGATTGATGGAATCAAATGCCCTGCGGAAGTCGAAAAGAACAAGTATTAATAATAATTGTGCTCTTCTACATATTAATCAAATTTTGGTATCGGAAGGTAAATCATGTGAGTCTTTTAGTTTACCGACACCAACCATTAGCAAATATATAAATAATTGCAATATTGAGGTCATATCTTTCAGTAAAAAAAATGTTCGATACGATGTACACAAATTTAAATGAAGATCAAAGAAAAATTTTTAAAACTGTTTGTGAACAAGATGAAAAAGTATATTTCATAGATGGTCCTGGTTAATCCAGAAAAACCTACTTATATAAGACACTCATTTATTATTTTATTTCTAGAGGTAAAAATATTATGTCAATGGCTTGGACAGGAATTGCATCTGTAATACTACCAAAAGGTATGACCAGTCATAGAACTTTTCGTTTACCTCTAGACTTAGATAATATTGAAAGTGTATTTTTAGAATTTGAAACTGAAAAAAAAAAATTAGGGAAGTTGATTTAATAATATGGGACGAGGCTTCTATGATTCCGAAAAAAGCTTTAGAAATCGTTGATAGAACGTTGAGAGACTTGTGTAATACAAAACTTTGCTTTGGTGATAAATTAATAGTATTAGGAGGAGATTTTCGACAAATCCTTCCAGTTATAAAAAACGGTAATAGAAC